GGGGCCAGGTTTGAACCCACCACCTCCAGTATATGTAAGGTGACCAGACGTCCCGCTTTTTGAGGGACAATCCCGATTTTTAACAATTTGTACCGCATCCCACAGCGTTTTAAAAAAAGTCCCAGTTTTTGGAAAGAGTGCACGACCTGTTAGATAATTGCCTCAGAAAGCCCCTCCCCCCAAAAGCCCCTTCCTGTCCTTAAAGTTACAACTCCTCCCTAACACAGGGAGTGGCCTGCTTACCACTGCATTCTAGTGCTAGTTAAACAAGTGATGTCAACAAATCAGCTATTCAGATAATTTAGGTAAGTAATTTATTTATTTATTTCATGAATTTAGCAGACAGTACTCATATTATTTATATTTTATAGTGGCGGCAAAAAGTCTAGCACTGGCCTTGAAAGTGACACTTACGACTTACGAGGTATCATTATTTAAAAAATATATTGATAAGGAAAAGGTTAAATCTTGGGCATCAGAAAAATCACAATAGTGAACAAATGGTTAGAAATATTTCATCATTTTGAAACAAACCATGTTTCATACAGTAATGCACTAAAAACTGTGGGATACGCGCTGTCCTTACCAGGAACTAATGCTGTGACTGAATGCATTTTTTTCTACAGTAAATAAAGTGTGCACATCAGAAAAATCACAATTAAGTGTTGAGACTTTGAAAGCCATTCTTATGAAAAATTTCATGACCTTTTAAACAACAACAGCAATCTACTAAAAAAAATCACTCAAATGAGAAATATGCCAAAGAATAAAATAATACCATACATAATTTTTTAATGTATTATATTTGTAAATTGTACTTATGTTGAAATTTTAAAAAATATTATAATACTATTTTTGCGTTCTATGAAAATTTTTGTTGCTCCATCCATGTAGACCAAATTTTTAATTAAGAACACCCCCAGCATGACCACCACCAGCACCCCCCATCAATGGTGTCCTGCTTTACCAATGTTAAAATCTGGTCACCTTAAGTATATGGGGCCAGCGCCCTACTCCTTAGCCACAGGCACCATGCTGGGTAATCCATTTTTAAAGGATTCTTACTGAAATTTTGCAAAATTACTCTCTATAAAATTATCCTACAGTGCATACCTACTAACAGAACATCTTTGCTAGCACTGCACATTTTGTTGATTCTCCTAAAATCATTACCACTTTGATTGATAAAAAATTTATTCTTTTAATTTGCATTGCTTGAGTTGCTGACATATATATATGGTCTGTTCAAATTTCTTCTGTGGATTGCCTTGCATGTGCTTTCCCATCTTCACATGAAAGTAAACAAAATAGCATGAAGGATGCTAAGTTATTATCTCCTAAGTGAGGACATAGTAACTATTTCAGCAGTGGGGGTCCTGGATGCAGTGGCTGTCTTGAATTGGCTGCTCTGGTCTTGGAGGAACCTAGATCTTCCCCTCCCTGGTCATTTTTCACCAACAAAGGGGTAACTTGTAGAGGCTGAGAGGGGGAGTAGCTGGGAAGGAAAAACAGAGCGCCACTGATTCTAACTAAAGAGCTTTTACTCAAGCCTAGTGATTGCAAGTAGAAGGCCTGATGGTTGTATCAACACTCTAATAAATTATGTTTTACTGTACCATGCTTTCAAAACAGGAATTAGCTGCCAACATTTAGAAGTAGGTAGATACTGGTGTGGAGCTGATGGAAAAGGAATGCTTACACACTTTCGGTGAGACCATAAATTAGTACAACCTCTGTAGAGAATAGCATGGAGATTCCTCAAAAACTAAAATCCTTCTACTGGGTATCTATCCAAAGGAAAATATGTCATTTTATTAAAAAAAGATACCTGTTCCAAACGTTTATTACAGCACAATTCACATTTGCAAAGAAATGGAATCAATCTAAGTGCCCATCTACTGAAGAGTAGATAAATAAATTATGACATATATATACCATGGAGTACTACCCAGCCACGTAAACAAATGAAATAATGTCATTAGCCACAACTTGGATGGAACTGGAGAACATTATCTTAAGTGAAGTATTTCAAGCATGAGAAAACAAATACCATATGTTTTCACTGATCAATGGGAGCTAAATGATGGGAACACACAGTCATAAAGTGTTGTAAAGGACATTGGAAACCAAGAAGTGAAGAGGGAGGGAGAAGAATGAAGGATAAAAACTTACCTATCGGGTAAAAGATAGGTGCAGCCTAGTTGGTGTGAGCACACTAAAAGCCTTGACTTCAACATTATACAATTTATCCATGTAGCAAAAACATTTGTACCCTCTAACATCTTGAAATAAAAATTACTTCTTTAAAAAATATGTGGTTTCACATGGAATCTAGATTTCTAGACAGAAGTCTCAAAAGGCAGTTGTTGAGTGAAGTTTTCTACAGCACTATTGGCTTCAGGTGAGGCACAGGCTCCAGCTTCCACCATGCCCCACCTCCACCTCACCCTCTTCCTATTCCAATTTTCACCATATCTGCCTGACCTTTTGTCTAAGGCTTCCTCTGTCAGTCCAGGAGCAACTTAGACTAGCACTAAGAGAAAACACTGGGGTTTGGCCCTGATTCATCACTAAGAGCTTCTTTGCTTAGTCTTGTCCCCTGTGCTCAGCTCTCCCTATGGAACTGGGTAGGAGTGGTGGCAGCCACCACAGGTGGCTAAGCCCCTGGCCTCCTCTCAGCCCTCTTTCTCATAGAGTCACAACCACTCACTTGCATAAACTCCACGCTGCTGTCCAGGGGGGTTTCCCGGCGAAAAAGCAGAAGAAAGTTTTCATCTTCAGACAAGAACATACCAGCAAGCTAAAGGAATAGGAAGAACAGCAGTCAGGGATGCGGGCCAGTATCCATTTAAGGAGCACTCCCTGAGTAAAAGGGCAGCAGGGCTCAGACCTCTCAATCTGGAGAGCCCAGCTTGCAGTTCTGTGCTCATAAATATCATTCTTTGATTCACTGATTCTTTCAAAAAGTATCACATTCCTATTAGGTATAAAACATTACGAATATCACCTTCTATGAATTTACAACCCTAAAAATGATACTAATGATAGGAATAATAAATTTATTAAGTATGTAACAGGTCCTAGGCACTATTAGAACTTTCAACATTAAATTAATTTAATTATTTAATGGTAGAAAATAAAAATAGCAGATAATGTTTATATACGCTAGCTCATTTAATCCAGGGTGACCAGACGTCCCGATTTTGGCGGGACAGTTCCACTTTTCAACAATTTGTCCCAAGTCCCACAGCGTTTTAAAATAGTCCCGATTTTTGGAAAGAATGCAGGAACGGGCTGGAGAACAAGAAGGGAATATACGGTTTTCGGCCACCATATGGCTATTTCACCAGAATATGAGTTTTATATTATTTTTGTTAATTTTATAATGTTAAACTGTAATAAATAATGCTGAGAAGTGATTAGTAAAAACTGCTTATCAAAGTTTGCATTGTTGTCAGGCCCTACCCTGCGCCATCCCTTGCCCCGCGCCCCGCTCCCGGCCATGTTGTCCGGCCTTACAGATGTTAGAATCTGGTCACCCTAATCTAATCCTAACAACACCCTATAGGGTACACAAAATAACATTATTCCTATTTTCTAGTTAAGGAAACTAGGCTGCACAGAAATAAGAAATTTGCCAAAGTTGCACAATTGTTATATAGCAGGCATCCTCAAACTATGGCCTGTGGGCCACATGCAGCCCACCTAGGACATTTATCTGGCCCACCAGGTGTTTTTGCCTCCACTGCCTGTCCTGCTTAGCAGCCCACTCGTTCCAGGGCTCCTGTTGGAGTCCAGCCCTCCAACAGTCTGAGGGACAGTGAACTGGCCCCCCCCCATTTAAAAATTTTGAGGACCCCTGGTATGTAGTAAAGTCAGGACCTCAACTTGGCAATCTCAAGCACATACTTTTAATTACTGTGCTTTGCTGGTAAGATGCTGTATAGACACAGTACGTCAGTGTCATGTGCAAAAGCAGTCAAGACTGCTGTCTGGCTTGATTCTTGAGTGTTAGCTATGATTTATATTATTTACATTGTTAGTCCCTATATGATACTGCAATCATTGATTTAAATGTGACTGACTCAACCAATCGGCTTTCTGTATGAGCACCTATTTGACTGGTTTACTTCACTCACTCCCATGAACAAAGTTCATATCTTCTTCCTCTACATGATTATAACAATTGTTTCAGCACAGGTGCAGGTTTTGCTGAGTTCATTGTCAAACCTAGGGTACTGCAGTGTATATTGACTTCTTTCTGAGTTGCTCCTTTAAACAATGGTCATTTTCTCTGTAACTGAGTGTTCTTTCAGTGTCTTGTACAATGCTATAGGATGAGTCCAGAGCAAATGCTCTGGGTTTTAGGTGCAATCCCCATTCACATTCTCCAAATGTCAGCTCAGGGACACATGTTAGTAATAACTAACATATATTGAGTATCTGCTCCATGGCCGGTACTAACAAGGTATTTTTCATTTATTGTTTCATTAAATTCTCACACCAGCTCTTTAGAATGAGTATAAATATCCCCCTTTAACCAATGAGAGACAGCACAATTCAATCTGTAAGTGATAGGCTTTAGAGTGGATCCAAATTCTTTCTCCATTACTGATTAATTGTGTGAACATGGGCTATTTAATTGATATTTCCATGCCTGATTTCCTCACTTGGAGAATTAGTATAATAATATTGATATTTTGGTACTTATATAAAAGCTAAAAGTACAGTGAGCAAATATCTATAAACTGTTTAGCAGTTTAAGTACCTGGTAGGCATTAAATAGTCAATAAATCATAACTGCCATGTTGGTGAAAAGGATAAAATTAAGGATCGGAGAAGTTAAAGTAACTTGTTCTAGCCTTCATATTCCACCATATTCACTTTATGCTTTTCTCCAACCCATACAAGGTTAACTGGAACTGGAAACTGCTCTTCAGAACTAAGCAGTTTTGGGGGGAAGGGTTTGGGGTTTTTTTTTTGCAGTTTTTGGCCGGGGCTGGATTTGAATCCACCACCTCCAGCATATGGGGCTGGCGCCCTACTCCTTTGAGCCACAGGCGCTGCCTTAGCAGTATTTTTTTTTAATATAATGGTAGAAATAAGCTAAAAACAACAACAACAAAAATTAAAATGTCATTCATTTATGGTTTTTAGAACTCACTCTGTCTTCAATTTTGGTTGGAGTGAAACTGAGGTGTTCTAGAAAAATTAAATATATAGATAATCCCCACACCTCACTTTGGCCTTTTAGTCATGGCTTTCCCCCATATTATGGTTTGAAAGAGATTCTGAAATATGTCATAGTGGCTGACCTTTTGTCACAACTGCCTGTAATTGGAATAAGTGAAATGGCCAATGGTACAACAGGAGACTACTGGAGAAACAGAAGATGTTGCTACTCCTTAGACTCCCAGGCTCATGAGGTTTTAAGGACCCTTGAGAATAACCCAGTTCTGTATCGTCACCTTCTCTACAAACAACCCCCTCAATGACACTTTTGTGAAGGACTCCATGGCAACATGACTGGCCAATTGCACAGGAATTAGTGAGATAATAGCATATTTTTCAGTTAATTATTATGTTTCACTCATTCATTAATATTTCTTTTTTTTTTTTTTTTGTGAAGTTTTTGGCCAGGGCTGGGTTTGAACCCGCCACCTCCGGCAGATGGGGCCAGTGCCCCACTCCTTTGAGCCACAGACGCCACCCTCATTGATGTTTCTTGAGCACCACTATGTGCTCTGCTCTTGGGGCTGGAGAATACCACAGAGAACAAGCCGTCATGGACACAGTACTTTGTTTGGTGCACCTAGCTTGATGCTTGCACTTACTTTTCTATTGAAGAATACACTGATACTTTTTTATCAATTACAATAAGAATTGTTGTTTATATTTGTAATTTAGTCTTTGAGTAAAACTTTGGAAACAATTAGTCTTATAAATTTAGGGTTTAGTTTATTAATTTTCTGATGAAAAGGCAGCCTGCTGGTGGACATGTCCACTCTTAATTAAGAGACATTATCTTGCCCTATTCACATAACTCCCTGAGGAAATTGCCTTATTATTTTCTTCAAGAATATCAACTGTCTGGCTTGGTGCCCAGAGCACAGTGGTTGTGGCACCAGCCACATACACTGAGGCTGGCAGGTTCAAACCTGGTCTGGGCCAGCTAAACAACAACGACAACTGCAACAAAAAAAATAGCTGGGCATTGTGGCGGACGCCTATAGTCCCAGCTACTTGGGAGGCTGAGGCAAGAGAATCGCTTAAGCCCAAGAGTTTAAGGTTGCTGTGAGCTGTGACACCCTGGCACTCACTTTACTGAGGGCAACATAGTGAGACGCTGTCTCAAAAAAATAAAAAATAACAAGAATGGAGGAAAAAGTATCCAATGTACACACCCCTATTATGAAACTAATTTATACCTTTTGTATGAAAGCTATAACCTAATAACAACCTAAGGATATGGGGAAGGGGGAGGAAGGGGGGAATGGGTGGAGGGAGGGGGATTCGAGGGTTCACTTTTGTGGTTCATCTTACAAGGGTACAAGTGAATCTTTCTATGAGTAGATTATGAACGTTTTAAGACAATAACTAAGAAAATTACGTGAAGGCTATGTTAACCAGTTTGATGGAAGTGTTTTGGATTGTTTGCGAAAACATCACACTGTACCCCAGAAGTGCATTAATGTACGCAGTTACTATTCAATAAAAAAAAAAGAAAAAAGAAAATAAAAAATAAAAAATCAACTGTTCAAGTATGGTAGCACCAAAAGACTAGCTTTTCAAGTGTCAGGTAATATGACTAACAAGCAATTTTTACAAAAAAAACAAACATTTTTTTGTTTCAGCATTTTTATATACAGCTTCATATCTATATGGTATGAACCTGTACAGATCCATACTTATAAATGGGATTATACTTAAACGACTACCACTTATTTGGCCAGGTAGTACTAGGAAAGTAACTTAGTTTCCTCCCTGAGAAAATAGGGATAATGTTCTATGTCTACCAAAACATATGTGGAAATTCTTTCTAAACTATAAGCATTTTTGTAATTGGAAGGAAAAATGATCAGGTAAACGTAGACTACCCATGACACTGCAGGCTTCACACAGTTCCTTACTTTACTAGGTGCTCAGTGAAAGTGGGTTGAAGGGAAATAAAGCTGGCTATTATCTGTTTCATTTTTAGTGATCTTCAGGAATAGACCTGGGAACTGATATTGAAGTTTAAACTAATATATAGTATGGCCATGGACAACTATTTTAAATTCCACACTAACTTTATGGCCACTCTGTATTTCCAGTAAGTTTTCAAGTTTCCATTTGAATAAGACACTGTACAAAGAGACACATGAGGAATCAAGTGACTAAAAAGCCTCTATCATCTCCATTTTAAAATAGGAACAAATATTGATTGACCTAAATAAAATGATGAAAGAATTGCATACTCTTTGTCACTAAGCAGATGAAAAGGAAGAGGTGTTCCCTAGGCCACCTACCTTACAAAAAGCTCTAATTTCCCAGTGAAAAGTAAGATTTCCATTGTCTTTCAAAGGAAATTACAGTCCAAGGAGGTAAAGTCAAGAAAAAAAGGTCAACAAATGTACAGTCACCAAAAATACAGTAATAAAAGTTACCTCTTTCATCTGTATGCGACCATCTTTAGACCCATGTTGAATAGTCATAAATTGCTGTTTCACCTTCTGCACATTTTCTTCCATGATTGAATCCTGCAATGGGCCAAATATAACCACATTAAAGCCACTGGGATCCCCCAAATATAGATAAGATACACATATTCAAAGCGCACAGCCTAATGATTACAATGATTATGTTATTCTGGTCTAGAAGGCAGGTCCCTTGGCCATTTGAAGTGATCCTACCCTTTTGTAGAAGAGCAAGATGGAGATTTCTTGAGCAACCAACCACTAATCAGAATCTTGACTAAGTAAAATTTATAACTTATGAGTTATTCAAATATTGATGAAAAGAAGCTTAGAGACTAGAGTGCTGAAAAACCAATTTGAACATTATCATGTACTTGATTGTACAGAAGACTGTATTGTAATTAATATAAAAATGTTCTTCCCAAGAACTTAGATATTTTACATTTTTAACTGAAAAATCAAGCTGTTCTAGACCCCTATGTGGCTAGAACCAATTCTCTTAATATTTTCTTGTATGTGTATTCTCTAAAGAAACAATAATAAGAGGAAATAATTAAAGACTAAAGTAATTGTTAAGTTACAAAACCTGTCACAACTCTCTTCCATAACTAACCTTTCCTACACATTAAATTATCTTGTTGAGTGGATTTCTGCACTGTTGCAAGAAAGATGACATATATAATGAACAATAAAGAATGAATTTTGAGGCTGGGCACAGAGGCTCATGCCTGTAATCCTAGCATTCTGGGAGACTGAGGTGGATGGATTGCTTGAGCTCAGGAGCTGGACACCAGCCTCTAAAATAGAAAAACTAGCTGAGTGTGGTGGTGTAGGCCTGTAGTCACAGCTACTTGGGAGGCTGAGAAAAGAGGATGTCTCAAGCCCAAGAGTTTGAGGTTGCTATGAGCTATGTCACCCAGAGTGACAGAGTGAGACTGTCTTAAAAAAAAGAATTTTGATGTAGTAGTTGAGAGAAATAGATAATCCCAAATAGTGCCTGATTTCAATATTCCAGGTGCTGGAGTTCATGCTAAAGTCATTCTTCCTAATACTATCACAATATCCCTGCTCCCAAGCTTCACAGCTATGAGATAGAAGGGTTGAAAAGAGGTGACCTGTTGACTATTATTCCTGCTGGCATTGAGGTGTAGGGGTGACTCTGAGCTTCCACAAGACTCTCTGGATCACTCACACACACAGGCAGGACAGTTCTCTGGGTGGCCTTAGACTGACCTAGTTCTTCCCCCTTTCTCACTTGTAGATCTGTTTTAGCCTCTCCCTAGAGCAAGATGTCCTAAAACACTTTAGCTCAGTGTAACATGAGGTTTCCCTTCAGTACAAAACCCAGGAAAGACTGCTATCAAGCACCTGCCACCTGCCACATGCCACACACAGTTCTGGCCCCTGATGACACGATAGTTAATGAAACTATCACAGGCTGCGAAAGACCTCTTTGTCCCGCCTTCCTTTCCACTGAGGCCTCTCCCTAATGGGCTACAAAAATAGTGAGGAAAAGGGAAATGTGGTGGGAAATTAATAGCTGCCTACATCTAATTCACAAGAAAACGAATAAAAGGCAGGTAAATAGACATTTTTGGAGTGCCAGCCGGAAAGGGGCACTAACCAGGCTCTTTCACAAATATTCTCTCACAGGATCTTCACAATGGGCCTTAGAGATAAAACAATTTACTACACACTTCAGTCCGTGGCTTCATTGCTGGTCTATTCATCTTTTCCTTTGGGGGGAATTTTTTTCATCTTTATGTGTCCGAGCTTCTAAATGGAAATTCTACCTTCCCACCACAGGCTGAGAAATGTCTCAGGCTTCTGCAGTCCTGACTTGGAGAGGCTATCAGTCTTGTCCTTTCCTCCTTAACCTGTCATCTCTTCAGGCTCTTTTATATATGATGAATATTTTCCAGAGAGTAGAAAATATAGAAGAGCAATACAAACTCTCAACCTTCTTAGATCTCAACAAATGAAGAAAAGATTATTCCAATTCATGATAATTTTATTTACTGATGCACAATAAATCAAAGTATATGGTTCTTTCAGATCCATCTTAGTGACTCAGAAGCAAAAGAGGAAAGAAGGGAAAAAAAATCAAAGAGCGTTTAGCACCATTTTCTAAGGATCTCAAGACTGCCCCTTCATTTTACTGAGGAGGAAACAGACCAGAAAGGTGATGTACTTGAATACTGGCAGAACAACATGAAACCAGGGCTTTTGCTATCTGGTACACTACACCTTCCATCACATCTTGCTGTTGCTTCAGATGAGGCAGCACCTAGTAAGGGAGTTATTAAAATCCAACACTAAGTGGTTTATGAAGGAGAAATGATCGAAACAAAATGTGAGGAGTGCTTGATGACTTGCTTTAGGATTTTTTTCAGGAAAGGTTCTCGCAATCAGTTAGATAACAGGATGCTTTAAATTACAAGATCCTGAAAGTCTGAAAACCAATTTTTGGAGAGGCAGGAAGCACATTGATCAGCAAACACAACTTTTGCCAGGGAATCCCAGGACATTATTGCAAGATCTCCACCCTTGACATTGCCATCCCACCTCACTAATTCATTGCAAGAGGCAGGTGTACAGCAAATGTTTGATGGTGGCTTATACTAATGAGACAAGAAAAATGCTCTAAGCGAGATGATTTAAGCTACCGGACCATCTGATTTTCCAGGATTGGTATGGACCTCAGAAATATAGGGAACTGCCAAACTTCATGTCAATCAATGCTTTGCCTCTTCCTTTTCCAGCCATACTTTTGCTGGCAATTATGACAACGAAATTGTACCTTCTTTTCTTCTACTCATCACCTTTTGCTGGAAGGGGTTAGAATATGATAGATGGATAAAGTACATGAAACAGAAAGAGATGAATGAATTAATCTCTCATATGGTGCCCAAATGGTTACTAGATAATGAAGAATAAACTTGATTTGGAATGAATTGCAATGAAGGTGAGTCACTTTGCAAAAAATTAAAATGTGTGAATGAAGAACTAAAAATAGCATCTATACATATAGCTATTTAAAAAAAAAAAAAGTGAACCCAAACCACTAGCATTTGTGATTGAGAAGATATATCAACCAAGTAGATGTGGGTATTCTGGCCATAATAAGGCCATCTGTTGTATCTATGGTCCTATATTTAGAAATCCAAAATTATTAAAAGAAGAGGACTTGGACAAATTGACTCTGTAAACATCAACCAAATGTATTCACTTGATGATGATAAATGGGGAATAGTCAAAGGCTTAGTTTTTAAAAAATAAATACTTTCCTAAATGAACCTACCAAATTTAAAATATGAGGGAGAAGACATTAATGATTTGGAAACAAAATCTCAAGTGAAGAAATGGGAAATAATGCCTAGATCATTTGTCTAATATTGAGCTGCCTATTGTCTACTATTTACCTTTGGGTAACCGCCTTCACTCATGAGGTAGTAAATATGACTTAAGGCATCCTTCAAAGGTACCCTCACTTGGAAAACTTACTCTTAAAAACTGGAAACCCCATTGACAGACATATTTGTTTCTTAGTTCTTTTTAGTGTTTGAGAGAGTAAGTTTTAATTATCCTGGGTGGGATAACCCACTGGTGACCTAAGCCAAAGAGGGTCCAGAGTAAACACTGGGAAAACTAAAAATCCAAGAAGACACCACATCACCATAACAACATATAAGGGGATGTTTTTGCAACTATAAAGCACTTTTTACTTGTGTTCTCTCACTGACTGTCATGGTGAAACAGGTCAAAACATTGTTATTTCCACTTTGCGGATAAGAAAATTGAAATGCAGAGCCTTCAAATGGCATATTGATATTACACAGCTGCAGGTGCAGAGCTAGGACATAAACACTGGGTTTCCGTTTCCGCATATAGTTGCCCTTTCCTCACATCATGAGGCATCTTTGGAGTGAGGTTCACAGATAAAGAACTACATTTTCTTTTTCTCTGTAGAAGGTGAACAGGAGACTCTAAGATCTTCTGTTAACTAGGCTTCCTTGTATGATACCCCACTAAACACCGATATTGGCCTGTCTAGTCTCAGCACTACAGATTGTGTGTGTTTGCATTTGGGGGTGCGTGCACCGTACAGGAAAAGCACGATGGATATCATTCAACAGGATGGGACTTTACTCCAAATTTCAGCTTGGTTTTTTAGATTAAGAACTCTGCCAGCACAGCAATCATTTCTTTACCTTTGGAACATAGGATCTGTTGAATAAAAAAATAATTCTTTATAAAGGGCTGGGCATTCCTCAAGGAAGTTAACTAACATAGGCCATGTTGGTGGAAAATTATATTTTAAAGTAACTAAATGTGAAGCCAAAGAAGCAGCAGCCAGATTCTATTGCCATCTTTATTTTGAGGACATGGAGCCTTGGAATTCTGACTTCTGTCCTCTTAGACCTCTAACCCTAAAGCCGGTGGCTATCCTCTGGACCTAAAACAAAGGAGCCCAGGGCTCCCCACTTGTAATTCCCCATCTGTCCTTATCTGGGCCTCAGCAGGGAAGGTATAGTTTCCAAAGCCTGAAAAAGGCCCAAGATATGGTATAATCGGTACACAAGGGATGCGTACACATAGAACCTGACGCTCACAGTGGACTGGCAAGATCTAGACCCAGTCTAGAGGCTAATTCTCAGCATTTGAAAAGAAAGGCTTGCAAAGAGTAAGAGAAACAGCAAAAATAGCAACTGATGGTTCCACTAAGTCAATCCCCTCAGAGGCTATAAGGAGAAGCTAATTATAAGCCGGTTGGTTACTCTGCAGGATTGACTAGCAGGCCACTTGCTGTTGGAAACCTCAAAATGTCTTCTTTTTTTTTTTGAGACAGAGCCTCAAGCTGTCCCCCTGGGCAGAGTGCCGTGGCATTACAACTCACAGCAACCTCCAACTCCTGGGCTCAAGCGAGTCTCCTGCCTCCGCCTCCCAAGTAGCTGGGACCACAGGCGCCCGCCACAACGCCCGGCTATTTTTTTTTTTTTGGTTGCAGCCATCGTTGTTTGGCGGGTCCGGGCTGGGGATTCGAACCCGCCACCTTAGGTGTACGTGGCTGGCGCCTTAGCCTGTTGAGCTATAGGCGCCGAGCCCAAAATGTCTTCTTGTGAGTTCTCTGCGACCCACTAATTAGCAGAGGAAAGTAGATTTATTCAGACCTCTGAAGAACAGCTAGCTGCTGCTAAACACCAAAGGGAGGGGCTGCCTGATTATGTAGGCCTCCCTGTTGCTGGCTTCTGTACTCATTGGGCAGTATTGTTTAAAAGCAGGTAGCACAAATGATGACCATCTGTCAGGTGATGGGATATCCACTTTGAGGTCCTACCTTATGGCTAGGGACTTGCTTAGGACCAACTTATTGTCCATTGGGGGAAAGCCCAAAATTAAAAATCATTTCCTTAATCGAGGTTGTCAGGGCTTCATGGAGTGCACAGTGAAGCTCCCTGCAGCCATACCCCAGGGTAATGCCTCAGCATTTTGAACAGGATCCAATATGGCAGATGATAATATTTTTGGTTAACAGTTTAAACTTATTATTCTGGCTCCAAAAGCTTTTTCCTAACCAAGCACTTGTGAGAGGTGCCTGGGGCTGCTGCCATAGCTCTGTGGGACTGGCCTGGTTATATTAGAATCCCCTCTCCAGCAGGCAGTCACTGTTCCTGGAGGGTCAGAAGGTAAAAAGACATGCAAACTGACTGAGGGTGTTTTTATAATGCATGATCCTTGGCAGATCTCAATTGTACTGAAATACTTATGAAATGGGACCTAGGGTCTGCATTAGCAAGTATAGGTACTCCTTAAGCACACCACATTTTGATTTGCATTAGGGCTAAGGATTCTGAAACTTTCCAACCCCCTTCAAAGCCACAGGGACATTTGCAGTGAACATCACAAGAAACCAGTGAGTTATTTGTGTCTCCTTTTTTCAAAGACCACACTTGCCTCTGTGTGAGAAAGTTGGTTCACGGGCCAGATCTAAGGCAGGGGCAGCTATAAGGACAGCCAAACTGCAAGAGATGACATCGTTTTTTGCTCTCAGAATGGCAACAACGCCTCTAGCCTCTACAGTTAGCCAAAACCTCAGGTGGAGACAGCTCACGGCATCCTCAGCTTACAGCAGGGCAGACTCCTGTGTTTCAGAAGCTGTCTACCACAACTCTATGACTAAATGAGAAACTTTGAGTTTTAATACTGACAGCAATTTTTCTCCTCCTTTTCTATAAATCAATAGAGCAAGGAACCTTCTAAAAAGGTGTTAAGGTCAGGTGTGTTGGCTCATGCCCAGCTCTTTGGGAGGCCAAGGCAGAAAGATTGCTTGAGCTCAGGACTTCAATACCAACCTATGCAACAGAGCAGGACCCTAACTCTACAAAAAAATAAAATCAGCTAGGTGTGGTAACACACAACTGTTATCCCAATTACTTAAGAAGTTAAGGAAAGAGGATCACTTCAGCCTAGGAGATTGAAATTGCAGTGAGCTGTGATCACCCCACTGTCCTTCAGGTAGGCAACAGAGTAAGATGCTATTTCTAAAATAAAATAAATAAATAAAAAGCTGGAAAGGTCCAAGTCTCTGGGATACAGATTTTTAGGAATTGAGCATCCAGTTTATTACAAATTTTTGGACAGCTTTATCTTTTTTCTTTCCTCAAATACCCCCATCCATGGTTGATAAGACGGCATCTGACTCATGGGTTCCTGGACTGCCGTGAGCCTTAGCATTTACAGGTATGAACAGGAGCCCTGCAGGGAAGGCTGAAAGAGCTTCACTGTGGTCTGCTGGCATGTAAAACTGGCCAGCAAAATTGAAGCAGAAGCCTCACATGCTGGAGGCTTCCTCGTCTCTACTTGTAGCTGGTATAAATGCAGAAATGAAGGATAAAGAGAAGGGTGTGCAAATGTTCTGATCAGAAGAAAGAAGAGGCTCATGTCTCCATCCTTCCCACCTGCCATTCCCTCGCAGGCTGTATGGGGTTGGGGGGACAGGAGAAGGCAGATAGACAAAAAACAAGAAAAGGTACAGAAAGAGAGGGATGAGTGACAATGAGATAAAGATGAAGGGGGAGGAGAAATTAGGAAGAGAAAAGAAGGTCAAAAGAAGAAGCAGAGAGATAGGAAAGAGAGGGGGAAAGATACATGAAAGACATGGAAGAGGAGGCACCAGAAGAGAGCGTTGAAAAGCACAGAGACTGAATATAGAAAGGAGAAACAAAGAGACAGAGAGGAGAAACGGGTGAGAAATAGAAATCAGAAAGAGACAAGAGAGAGGAGAGAGAGGTCACAGGAAGAGGCAAATAGACAATGGGAGATGAGACCCATGAAACACGGAGGTGGGAAACAAAAACAAGCAAAAAAATTTAGAAAAACATACATTTAAAGAGAAAGAGAGAATGTGAGAAGCAGACAAAGAGAGAGATCAAGAAGTGTGTGGCTGATGGAAGCAAATGCCACCTCTTCTTTTCTAAGCTGGCTTTCTCTGACCCTCAACACTCCCCCTTCTCCACAATTCTCAGCAGAGAGCTCCTTGTTCTCCTTACAGAGCTCTTACATGAGAATGTAATGCACTTTAATATTCTTCTAGGGAAACAATTGCAGTCTCTGAAGATAAACTATCTCCATAGGGCGGTGCCTGTGGCTCAGTGGGTAGGGCACTGGCCCATACATCAAGGGTGGTGGGTTCAAACCTGGCCCTGGCCAAATTGCAACAAAAACAATAGCTGGGCATTGTGGCAGGTGCCTGTAGTCACAGCTACTCAGGAGGCTGAGGCAAGAGAATTGCCTAAGCCCCAGGAGTTGGAGCTTGCTGTGAGCTGTGTGATGCCACGGCCCTCTACCAAGGGTGATAAAGTGACACTCTGTCTCTACAATAAATAAATAAATAAATAAAACTATCTCCATGGTTCATTTAAATGCAACTATCACCAGAGTTAATCCCTGTATTATGCATATCCTAATGGAACTTTCATTAAATTGAGACCCTTCCCTGGCTAGCTTAGCTCATGAGTCTCTTGAGTTTTTTTCTCTGCTTTGGGGCAGAGATATGCAAAAATTCATCTATATCTCTCAAGAGATACAGAGAGATAATACCATCAGAAAGTGATATGAACACCAGATACGCTGGCTTACACTTATATCTGAGTTCTAAGTATGTTAGTTATTTTCTGGCTTGTCTTTCCTTCATAAATCTGTAACCACGTATAATAAAATGAATCATGGAAAAACTTTTTTTTTTTTTCTTGCAGTTTTCAACTGGGGCTGGGTTTGAACCTGCCATCTCTGGCATATGGGGCTGGTGCCCTACTCCTTGGAGCCACAGGCACCACCCGGAGAAACTATTTTAAATGATTTGTTTGTGGTTTGCTATCAAAGTAGTATCATAGGTACTAAACACCAATTTTACTGTGCTTAACATTGTCCCAACATTTTTTGGAACAAAGGAGCTACTTTATCTCCAGTTATAAACCAATTAGCAGAGACATAATGAAGGAGACATTTAAAACCAAGTTGACTGAGTCAACAGTTAGGATTTCTGAGTGGGTGACAGATGCTACACTGAAAGTCAGTGACCAGCATGTCTAATGCCACAGTTGTGCTTTTTATAAGACCTGCCTTTGTGTTGCTGGGAGAAGGAGAAAAATTACATGCATGCAAGGAAGAAAAGAGGTCAGATGGAATTAATCAGTACAAGTCAACATAAAACTTGAATGCTTATATTTTACTGAGAGAAATTAATGTTTAGTGCACAAGTACTTACATCAGTACCCAATTTCACAAACATGTGGTGAAAGAAAGCATCAAGCTCCTTCTCTTCTATGTAACCCTTATCTAAAAGCAAAAAGATAAGCATAAATAATAGTCACTTATGTAGAATAATATATGACATTTAGTATCTATATTTTAAAATCTCACAATTTACAAAATCTCCATAGATACTATTCTGTGTCCTTCCATAACTAAGTGCCAGCATCTAACTCTGGAAAACATGGATTTGAACAGTGATTGTGTCCCAGAGCAAATGTTTTCTTGGATGTTTGTATTAACATGTAAAAAAAGAGAGATATTAAATACATTAATTTTAATATTAATTAACATGAGCTTTACAATAAAATTTAACCCAAGGATTTCTAAAGTTCAGAAAAACTTAAAAGATAATTACATATTGAATCTTAGAGCTTAAAATACACCTTTAAATATTTTCTTTATGTTTATTATTAAAAATGAAGCAAATGCTAAGTAGCTCTATTATATTTTTGTAAGTAGTCTTGAGATTAAGTAGTCTTGAGATGAAGTAGTCTCGTTGCGTGACAGTCATTTTGAAAGTTGATAAAATGTACCCTCCCTTTGAGAGAGTGTGGGGGGCTGTACAACAAAGTTACTGAGAAAAATGAGCACAATTAGGAAAAACTAACTTCAGATGGCTGAGTTGCAGCCCACAGACCTTGAATATACATAATGCTATTTTTGTGTCCATATGTGCTTATGTAAAAGGTCCTCATTTAGGATCTCTGAGTGAGTGACAGACATTACACTGAAAGTTAGTGACCAGCAGGTCTGATGCTACAGTTGTGCTTTTTATAAAATACGTAGACAAAGATTGGGGAGGGGGACAAATCTCTTTTCCCACCATGAATTTTCACAAGGTATCTAGATGTGTAACACCAGTATACCATGTCTATTAAATACTCTGCATTAGATATACTGTATTAACAATGCAAGCAGACAAGTTTTCCTACAGGAAAGGGGGAACTCCAGGTTCCCCGTGGACCTGCGTCTACACCTGAGTACGCAGGGGGTTGTTCTACTCACCGTCGGGGTCAAAGTGCTGCCAGACCTGCCAGAAGCAAGCTGCGTCCACGAGCCCCGGAGTCTGTTTGTGGGCGCTGTCCATGGTATTGACCGCGAAGACCAGGCACTGGTGAGCAACTTTGCTAACGACTTTTTTTTTTTTTTTTAAGATAATTCCTGACTCCCTCGTCTGCTTCTTTCGCTCTCTGATTAGCTCTGAATACCTGTTGGCAGGGCGGACTCAGGGCAGCTGGCCCTGGCTTTGCTAAGCAGTCCCTCAGCGCTGACGGGGCTCTCAGCAAGACCAGCCACTTGATGCCCGCCCCGCTCCGCTCCGGCGTCGTCCCCGCCCCGCCCTCGGCGCTGTCCTGGCAGATCCGCAGGGGAGCTCCTGTCTGTCTCAGCGCTGTGGGGGATTCAGGAAGAAAGGAGCTGTCTCAGGGCATGCACGGCTCACTGCCTTTGCCCTTTAACTTGTTTGTCAGACTCACAGAAAACAATTCCTGTGCGTTTGACTCACCTCCCAAACTTGTGTCTCAAGGGGTTTTCTAGGGAGAGCTGCTTCATCTAAAGAGTTGGAAGAAGTGTCAGTGTCAGGACCTTTTGGATCTGAAGATTTAGAAATGTAATGTGAGGCTCGGCGCCTATAGCTCAACCGGCTAAGGCGCCAGCCACGTACACCTAAGGTGGCGGGTTCGAATCCCCAGCCCGGACCCGCCAAACAACAATGACGGCTGCAACCAAAAAATAGCCGGGCGTTGTGGCGGGCGCCTGTGGTCCCAGCTACTTGGGAGGCGGAGGCAGGAGACTCGCTTGAGCCCAGGAGTTGGAGGTTGCTGTGAGCTGTAATGCCACGGCACTCTACCCAGGGGGACAGCTTGAGGCTCTGTCCTCAAAAAAAAAAAAAAGAAAGAAAAAGAAATGTAATGTGAGAGAAGAGTGGGTGGCAAGGGGTGACGTGGTGGTGGTGGAAAGGTTACCGTTAAGCAAGGAGTCAGACAACGGCAGTTATTGAGCTTTGGACTGTATACAACATACACATTGCTCTATCACCATGTACTATAAGAATTTGCGAGTGAATAGGGATACTGCAAATCACTGTGGTTTAAAATGGCATCGTTAGGACGCTGGGGAAAATAGAAATTAAGCCATACTCAACCAGGAAAGGAGAGTTGAGGGAAAAACATGGCTGACTGCAGAGTCTCTGGGTAGAAGGCAGATGATTGAGGCCACATCATTCAGAGGAACGCAGAGGTCTCTAATGATCAGGGCTGTTCAACATTTGATTAGATGCTTTGCAAAAGAGTGAACAAACCACTAGATGCTTTGCAAAAGAGGGCTTTTGACTCTAGGCTTAGAACATTTTGTTAGGTAATCTATAGAAGGAACTTGGGTATTAGACAAGAAAGCTGGACCAGATATATATCTTCTTCATGGCATTCTGACTCTGGTATTAGCATTCAAATTTGTTTATAAAAAGCACATGTACATAAGCTATCTAAACTACACCAGTAAAAAGAAAACGGCACTCATGGTCAAATCATCCTGATCAGGATCCCAGGTCCATCATCTACTAGCTTGTGACCTGCACGATTAGTTTTCATTTCTCTAAGATTCTGTTATCTTACCTGTAAAATGAAAATTATAATATCTGCTTTGAAGGGTTGACATAAAGATTAGAGCCAAACATAGTATTGCACAATGAATTATAGCTAGTATGGTGCTACAGGTGAAGAGAGGTGACTATATTATAAAAGAAGAATGGTTTAGAGAAAAGAAAGTCTGAGAAGCTATCATAGTCAGGAAGAACCTAATGAAACACGACAAGTAAATGTAATGTTCTATCCTGTACGGGATCCTGGAACAAAAAAAATAAGGCCATTAGGTAAAGAGCACAGCTGCAAGAATTACTGCTCTTCTCAGGACTGGAGAACAAACAGAACAATTTCTAGGAGCCTGCATCTGGAACTCTCTGGGAACAGCAACTTCAACCTGATGATCTATTTTCTGATTTTTTCATATACAAGTATCTACCATGGCACTTGGTAGATATCGCTAATTTACTTTGCATTTCCTCATACATGGGTCATTATAAAATTTTTATTTTTATTTTATTTATTTAAAAATAATTTTTTTTGAGACAGGGTCTTTCTCTGTCACCTTGGGTAGAGGGCCATGGCATTATCATAGCTCACAGCAACCTGAAACTCTTGGGCTCGAGTGATCTTCTTGACTCAGCCTCCAGAGCAGGTGGGACTACAGGCAACCACCACAATGCCTGGCTACTTTTTTCTATCTTTTTTTTAAAATAGTGACAGGGTCTCCCTCTTGCTCAAACTCCTGAGCTCAAGCAATCTGCCTGCCTTGACCTCCTATGCTATTACTATGGGTGTGATCTCTCATGCCTGGCCCCATTATAAATGTTTTAGATAAACAAAAATCAAGAAACATAAACTCTGCCGGGACAGAAACAAATGGAGTCATCCCAGCAACACCAATAAACTGAGCATGTTTAAACTTGCCCAGGGGAATCAGAAAGGATGCTGTCAACTCTGTCTCTTGGAAAAAAAATAAAGTGCCATAACACAATCTATCTCAAAACTTTCAAAGTGACCCACATACAAAGATTTCCTTTTGAAAAAATTATCCAAACCTTTGACAGAGAAGTGAGCCATGAGGAAATGTTCAAAGATACTGTATCAGCAGGAGACACCTTTAAGACTATCACATTGGAAAGATTCTCCTGCCTGGGAATGGAATGAAAGAACCAGAGGTGATTTACCAGAGATCCTTACTGTCCAACCAGAGAGCTCTGAGTAAAGCAAATACTCAGAAGCTAGAATCAACTTGAGATACACTTTGCATTTTATGGGTTAATTTAGCCCTTTCCATAGAGATTCTGATTTAAATGGTCTAGATTGAAGCCTCTACATTGATATATTTTTAAAACTCCCCTAGGAATTATTTTAGAACCACTGACTAGCATTCTGTTTCTATTTCCTATGACCCATATTTTGGTCATTTTATTAATTGGGTATGGCTTGGCTTTTCTAAAGGGTAATTGAGGAAAAGAAAAGACTTCTAAAGAACTAAAGTTTTTATTAATATCTCACAACTCTTTTATTAATATCCCATATCTTTCAAAAAGATTAGAAATGTTACTTATCAGTCATTTTGGTAAGCTTTGACAATTGATGGCTAAAACTAGAGGCTAAATGAGTTGTTTTTCTTCTTCTTTTCCTACTGATTTCATTTTCTCCTGCAATCATTTCCTGCTTTTCTCATTAGCATAGCTAATTGATGGTTAGTTGTACAAGAAACAGCAATGGTCTATAATTTGAAGCATTGCTAATTAACCTTGATGTATGCATTCAATTCTAAGCTAAAATATCTACATCTTTTTACAAACTCAGAATATTTCTAACTGGAAATATAAACAATGCTTTCTTTGGCATCATCATCCAATAGTTATTGAACATTCAAACATGGTAGACACCTCACACACTATATAGTAGACCTTAGAATTCAAAAGGACATTCTTGGTACAATGCCACACCAGCTCCAAACTGTAAAGGAAGTAGAACAAAAGAAATTGGACAATTTCTTATGGACAATTTGCCATAAGAAAACACTAGAAATAGAGTTAATGCATTTTAAAAAATATTTTTGTTTTTTTGCAGTCACATGAATAGTACAAATCATTCAAGTAATATAGATCAAAACAAGAGAAAGAGAAAGGAAGGAAAGAAGGGAAAGAGGGAGAAAAAAAGGGAGGGAGGGAAGGAGGAAAAGAAAAGGGAAGGGAAGAGAAAAAGAAAAGGAAAGAGAAAGAAAGGGAGAAAGAAACTTCCTTCATAATTTCACCGTCTAGAGTTAACCATGATAATAACATATGAGTATTTGTTAAATGCATAAAAAGTGAATTATACTGCTCTGTGACTTGCTTGTTTCACTTATTATGAAGCATGTCATTATATATTCTATGATGTCATTTTAATTCTAGTATTATCATAATTTTATTTAACTAACATCCTCTTTTTAGACTTTTACATTGTCCCTAAGGTTTCACATTTATAATCTGTGCTGTGACAACTAAATGTTTTCACACTCTCACAATTATTTCTTTGGGATAAAATTCTAAATGTGTAAGTGCTGTGATGAAAAGTACATAACATTTTAAGCCTTTAGCACATACTGTTCAAAAATGGTCTCCCTTTTGATTGTACCTATTTACATTCTATTAACAGTGGAACAAAGTACCATTCTACCCCACCCATTAACAATAAAACCAAAAATATGTTAATTTAAAAGTCACAAAATCTACATATTTGAAGAGAAGAGCTTTGTTTCTTATAAAGGGTTACAGCCTGCAAAGTGGCCATTCTGACAGGCTGAGAATTGTAGTCCCCAGCAAAGACCAGAGACCCGCCTTCAAGGGAGGGTGGAGCAAGACAGCAATTTAAGCTGAAAGGGTTGGCCAAATATACATATTATACTGGTTATAGGAGAAGTATGAATATTCATGAAGGTGGTTGTGAGGCCTGTATACTAGATAAGCATGCATGATGCATATAACCCATGTTCAATTTGGGTTGGAGACTTAACATTTAAATATATTATAATTAGGTACCTCCAAAGGTCTTTTCAGGACACAAAGGGGCTAAAGTGAGAGAATCAGCACATGTACTCAGTGTTTAGGGCGCTGGCCATATACACCAGGGCTGGTGGGTTCAAACTGGGCCCCCATCTGCTAAACAACACTGATAACTACAACAAAAAAATAGCTGGGTGTTGTAGTGGGCACCTGTAGTCCCAGCTACTTGGAAGCCTGAGGCATGAGAATTGCTTGAGCCCAAGACTTTGAAGTTGCTGTGAGCTGTGACGCCATGAGCCACATAGTGAGACACTGTCTCAAAAAAAAAAAAAAAAGGGTGGGGTGGGTGGGAACTAAAGTGTGTGCAGCCTCTGTAAAACCAGTTCAAAGTCAGTGGTCTTACCAAGACAAAATTACTGAAATCAGTCACTTGTCCAATCAAAGCTGTAGTTACAGCCCATGGAATAGGAGGATAAGGGTTGGCATCTGACAGTGAGGCTGCAGATTGATTTAACATTGTCTATTGAGATTAGGGCTT